CTCCTGGTTCTAGGACAACAGAGGAGATGGGGACCGCGAGGAGTGGGGAGATGTCAGACAGTTGCTGAGTAAGAGTGAGGACCTGAGCTCAAGCCTCCAGAACCCACACACAAGGCTAGGGAGGCAGAGAAAGGAACCCCTGGGGTCCACTGCCTTGCCAGTCTGACTTAGTGACAGGCTGTCTCTCCAAAGATAAGGTGGAGACTGATTGAGGAGGACGTTTGACACGTCCCTCTAGCCTACATGCACACATTCACAATATACCCACATACAAACATACTATATAATATATATATCCACACACATGTGAACATACACATAAACATGAAAATATCAATTCGTTCATTATTATTATAAAGAACAACGATTCCCATTAAGCCAGGCTGGCGGGAACTGAACGGACGCGAATGTGTAACCTGGGAGAGAGTTGGTCCTAGGAAGCCCCCAGAGCAACAGGGTCCCACGTGAAGGCCAGCTCCACTGACAAAGAGAGAGAAATAAAGAAAAATTCAGAGCTGGGAGAGACGCCTCAGTGGTTAAGAGTACTTGCTGTTCTTCTAGAGGATCTGAGTTTGGTTCCCAGCACCCATGTCAGGCAGCTCACCATGACCTGTAATGCCAGCTCCTGGGGACTCCGCACCCTGCTGTGACCTTTGGTACACTTGAGGTAGATAACCACACAGACGGATAATGAAAATTTGCAAGGAGATGCAGAGAGATGTGAGGACTGGGGGCTGGGGCTATGAGGGCCGAAGCTGGGAAACCGGAGAGGTGCAGGCATGTGGGGACTGGAGAAAAGCTAGTGTCAAGCTGCTCAGTCCCAAGCTGTCACTTCTACTCAGGACAGAAGCACAAGGAGCCAGGAAACATAACCTGTAAGGACATATAAAGCATTTTTGTTTAAAAAACTGTCATTGGTTTTAAATCCTTGCCCGACTTAGAGCAGTAGTTCTGTTTGCCTGCCAGGGTAACAGATGTGAGGGAGTCACAGAAATAAACTGCAAAGAAGCAAAAAGTGGCACAGTTAGGATTCACCCTGCAGTGTCAGGTCGATGAGGTCAGGCCCTTTACCTCATCTCTCAGGTGAAGCACGGGAATATGGAGAGTGGCATTCCTGCATTTGGTATGCATTGAGAACCCTTGGACACTAAAGGGACTGTCCAGGGCAGTGGGAACTCCAGCACAGAAGAGCAAACACAAATGTGTTTCCTAGTGTGGCTGTTTCCAGGCCCCCACTGTCTGGACTCAGACTTGGTTGGATGACCCTGGCAGTTTACACAGGCTAGACTCTCACGCCTGGCCAAACTCGCTGGAGCCTTTTCATTGTTTGCCTTGATTCTCATATCAGCTGTATCCTTCCTACCGTTCTTCCTCTTGCAGAAAGTGACCGTGACCCTCCAACCTAGACTGTCTACTGGCTTTGACACATGACCCATGTCCTGCTATTGTTAAGCCCTAACTATTGCAAACAGAAGATTTGAGGAAAGGGAGAAGAGAGGGATTTGCCCAGGCTTGTCCCAGCACGGGGCTGACAAAGGCAACCGGGACTGGAGGGGAACTCTAAGAATGGGGAGACAGGACCATGGGGACTTCTGTGGTCTAGAACAAAGTCTCTCACTAAGATTTTGATTTGATGGCCTTTGTAGAGCAGGTCAGATAGATTCCAGGCGGTCTAGATGGCCAGTGGGAGTTTGGGGCAGCCAAGCAGGTCACTCTCAGCCACGACTCAGGATAAAAGGGACAAAACATCCTGCAGTCATGTCACCGAGCAGGAGCCCAGCTCTCCTTTAGGTTAGCTTTCCATGGATCTGGAAACAGCGCTAGCTGCAATCCTGCAGTACTCTACTGCACTTACGATTCGGCCTTCATGTGTGACCAGGTCCCTCTTGTCGATCTGGGCCCACCTTCATCTTAAATACTCCAAGCTGGTCATCAGATCTGGGATCTGAGCTTACCATCACTGCTCAGAAAGATCTTGCCTTAAATCTTCACAGATCAACTTCTCCATGGCCCTTATCACCTACCTGTTGGAAGAGACCCAGCCCTCACCACGTTAGCTCCTCCCTCTCTTGTTTTATTTTCCGCATCCCTGGGAAGGGTAAGAATAGGGTGGATCATTCAGTAAGCGCAGTACAGCTACACAGGCGGTGTTCAGTAGCCGAGCCGTTAGTAACAGAGTCAGCTTATGCGGGGAAGAGGAGCCATTTCGGACTGTGCAGCCTGCTTGCTAAGTCTCGGTTTGCTATACCGCCTGCTTCTTGTCTGCTGTTCACTCTTTTAGAATTCGGTTCTGCCCTCCAGAAATGAGAAAGACAAGGTCAGAGAGGAGAAGCTGGCAGGGCCCTGAAAGCTTTTCCAAGGGAGATGCCGCAAGTGAACTCAAGTGAAGTTTTCACTCTTTGGAGCCATTGTTTCTGCTCCCCGTATCCATCAATGAGAACCTAATACCATTTTATTCGCTTTAAAGGGGCTCGAAAGCTCTAATCACAGGGTGTGCTCCCTTCCCAGAAGGCGGATGTTAGTGCTGTTAATCAAAAGCCTTTGAATCGAGGTCAGACGATTTCAAGCAGACTACCTCCCCGCACAACATGTTTGTGTCTCATAGCAACAAATCGTATCATTAAAATCACTAAGCACGTGGGCTGAAGTGTTTGACGAGCTGCGACTCACTTCCGAAACAGCCACCCGTGGTAAGAAGTCACAGCAGTGTATATGAGCAGACAAAAATGGCCCACCTTGACGGTTTTTACATTAGAGGGCCAACAATATAATCCTCTGTGTCATCTTCTTGTTTCAAACAAAAAGTGACTATCAGAGGGTCAACTGAAATGAACCCCTTCCTTCTATATGTGGAACTTGGGCCAGTTTTGCCTGGACATTTGGCTAGTTGTTAAATTAAAAAGTATATTTATTAGGTAAATAGCCATCTCTTCATTGCTTGAGTTTTACGTTGTGTTTGTTTGTTTGTCAGTTTTACATTTTCATCCATTGGGTCTATGTGCACAAGTATGCACACACATGCACGCTTGCAAGTCAGAGGACAACTTGTGAGAATTGGTCCTCTCCACCCTGTGGGTCCCAGGGGTCCAGCAGGGATCAGGCTTACTGACAGATACCCTTACCCACTGAGCCAGATGGCCGGACCTCACTGCTCAAAGTGTAATCCCGCTGTTCCACTAGCATGACCAGGCCTTTCTAGCTCCGTGCTCTGTGCTGAGTACTGGTCTACGTGTTCTTCTCAAGACTGTAGAGTTCAAGTTTCTGTTTCCCAGAGAGAGTAGTTTAGCTCAGAATGGGACGAATCCTTCTCATGGCCTTCCATCCCCCCCTGCTCTGGGAAGTCACCCTCCCTGCCCTGATGGCCTCTGTTCTTGGCACCTTAGCTACATCAGTCTCTTTGCTTCTTTGACCTTCTCATTCCTTAGCTTTCAGCTCAACTTAGGAGACCCGCTCCGGCTGCCTGCCTATAAATGTCCTTTCCAACCCCTGCATCTTCTCTGTAGCATATATGCTTTGTCAGGTTAGATGCATATTTGTATTTATTTTCTGTCTCCTCTGCTTGTGTGCTGTATTTGACGTTATATAGTGCCCAGTACACAGCACGGCAAATTTTACTAAATGAATTGATAAATGAATGAACACGTTCTATTTACAACTTCATTTTCCTGCCTTTTTTCTTCCCCTGCTACACAGTTAAAGATGGCTTTCGAAGACTTGATGTCACAAAGACTCCACCAATGACTAGAGAGGTCTTTCCTTTCCCCAGAAGGTAGAGCCTTCTTTTCATTCACTGGACAAATATTTATAGAACCTCTACTCTCAGGCACATAGTGAGCAAAGATAAAAATGAGACAGCTCCCTCACGCCGTGCAAGATAAACAGAGACAGAGAGAAATCTGCGTGTCTGTAGGTGTCTGTTTTTCAACACAAACCCACACTAGTCAGTGTGTGAGAAGGAGAGGCATATAAATCAGCAGCCACCTACTTGAGAATCGCTGCTCAAAAATAGCTTCCCACAGACTTCTCTCCTGTGCCTAAAATTCCATCAGGAGAGTTTTCTCTGTAGGAGATGGAAGGTGGGTGATGTGACAGACAAATGACTTGCAGCGGGTAACTCCTCGGCTCTGAGGCGGTGTTGAGCACAACATGAAAACAGCCGACGGGAATCTTGCACAATCCTAAGTGAGCGCCCAGCACCGCCTGTTGTTTGTCAGTCTCGTGAGCCGCTTGGCCCCAGTACAATCTTCATGTCGCTGGGCTGTGACCACTTGGAACTGTAAACCAAGCCTTAAATGAGGTTTTCCGTGTATCAGGGAAAACTGTCAGCATTTTTCTTCCTTATTAAGAATGGTAGTAAAAGAGCTTATAAGGGAGGAAATAAAAATCTGATTTTCAAGTTGTCAAAAAACATCACAATGAAATGTGATCAGTTTAGCCAGGAAGCAAAATGGCCAACATAAACTGTTAGCTGAACTCCCACAGCTGTGAGCAGCTGCGGCTCGTGCGAGGCCGCTCCTTCCTTTATCGGTTCTTCCATCTAGTTTACTTTTCCTTGCTTTAATTGTACATGCATCTTAGGATACAATCACATGAGCGCTCTCTCTCTCTCTCTCTCTCTCTCCCTCCCTCCCTCCCTCCCTCGTGGTGGCTGTCTCTGTATGTGGTGTGTGCATGTGCATGTGTGTGTATATGTTTGTATATGTGTGTAGTGTGTGTATGTGTGTGTGCATGTGGTGTGTGTGGGGGTATATGCATGTGTGTGAGATATATATATATATGGTGTGTGTCTGTGTGTGTATGTATATGTGTGTGTGTGAGTGTATGTGTGTGTTTCCATGGGAGCATGTACCCACCATGCTATCTTATTCTGCCACCTTAATAAAGAAAACAGAAGTTGTATAAAACATAAGGGCTCAGGCTTCATCTTGTGACCTTCAGTTGAAGGGTTCTCAGACAGCAAGACAGCGGAGACCAACTTCTCCTGAAGCTTTAGTGAGGAAAACATTTCTTGTTTTCATCTGCCTTGGATTTTTTTTTAACATGAAAAGGGTGACCAGTAATGTTACTTTTGCTTTAAGTGTGAAGATACACCATGTGCGTGGTGATCATTATTTATTTATATATTCATTAACAGGCAAAGAAGCCATGCTCTTGTACCTCTGAGTGGAAGACCCACGTAGCCACGGTTTCTGCTGCACAGCCTCCCCCAGGTCAACAGCTCTTTTTGAAGTGGTTTTGTTGGCAATTAAGTGCAGTTATAGTGCTGACATGAAACTAAGCATTTGTATACCTGTCCTGAATGTTTAAAATCCATGCCGGGCTGCCGGATCCACTTCCAGATAACAGCAGTGCTAAGAACTGTCGGTGCTGAGGGCTTGCTGTCAGCCAGCCTATGCTGGTCTATCCTGCATTATCTCATTTAGTCCTGGCAGCAGCCCCCTGGGAGTCCTGGCTGCTGGGTGCCTTGTGAATATTCCAGGGCCGTAGTACCCTGCAGAAAACCTCAAGCACTGGGTCCCCCCAGATAGCTTCCCTCTGATTAGGACTGTCAGGGTATGCAGCTAAGACAAGCTCCGGCTTGAGGCATCTCTGTTCCTTTCAACTTTTGTTTATGTTTTCATCATAGGAATAATGTTACAAAAAATTAACACAAGTATATTAAGATTACAAGGAAAAGTAAGTTCTTCCTTGTCCCTCTTAATTCCCGGCTTCCTCTCAGGTTAGTGCAATCCTTCCGGGCCTTTAAAGGTGTATATCAACACAGGTAGTTTCTTTTTTAATATGGGATCAACACTGTATCTTGTTTTTCCCCTTAACCCTTTTCATGCCACACAACAGGACCCAGTAGTCTACTGTGTCCATAAGTCATGGCGTGCAGGTGCTCGTCAACCTATGTTGAGCTGTGTCTCCATGGACTCATTATAAACAGAAAAAACCAAGTCAACATGTATGTACTGTACTAACCCTCAGAGCACTGTGACCTTCAGAGCTCAACACCCTGTTTCCCTAGAGTCCTGAAGCTGACCAGGCACTGTGGTTCTCGTCAGCCTCTGTCCAATCCATCATTCCACACCATCCCGAAGTAAAACTCTCAGGTCAGAGGTCATCCCTACCACTCCCGCCCATTATTAATTGGCAGTAGCTTGTTTACTTCCATATAATGTTTTAAGATATTATTTATTTGTGCATATACACACATGCACACACGCCCATGCATATGCACGTACACACACAGGGAGACAGAGAGAGACAGCGACAGAGAGAGACAGAGAGAGACAGTGACAGAGAGAGAACAGAGAAGAGCACCAGACCTCTTTGAGCTAGAGTTACAGGCATTTGCAGGCAGCCCAGCATGTTAGTTGGGTACTGGGATCCAAACTCTGATGTTTTTGATTTGAGCAGAAAGTATTCTTAATCTCTGAGCCATCTCTCCAGCCACCACAAAGTGGTTTTTTGTTTTTGTTTTTAATAAATAACATGTCAGCCAGTATGTGGGTTTGTGGACTTTGAGGGCAGGTTCCTGCAGAAGCCAGAAGCATCAGATCTCCCTGGAGCTAGAGATGTAGGCAATTGTGAGCTGCCTGATAGGGGTAGTGGGAATTGAACTCAGGTCCTCTAGAGGAGCAGAGCACTCTCTTGAGCCCTGTGCCATCTCTCCAGCCCTCCCACCCCCAGGGTTTTAATAACAATATAGTTTGGCTTCTTTGGTGTTTCTCTTGGATACATTACTAAAAGTAAGGCTGCTAGCCAAAGAGAAGGGTTAGTAACATTTTGATAAACAGTGAAATTGCCTTCCAGAATTGCACCCGATTCTGCTCTTACCAAGAGTACACTGAAGTATTCATACTCTTACACCCTAATTATGTGCAAGGCTTTTATTTTTGCATCCATCACTAAACAGAATGTACCACTTCATGCATTTTTGGCATTTCTTTTTTTCAATCCATTTGTGTGTGTGTGTGCGTGTGTGTGTGTGTATACCTGTATGTACATGAATGTGAATGCAGATGTCCTTGGAGGCCAGAAAAGGACACTGGACTCTCTGGAGCTGGAGTTACAGGCCATTGTGAGCTGAAAACTGAAGGATTCTCTCCAAGCCGCAAGTGCTTGTAACTGCCAAGCCATTTCTCCAGCACCGTTTGTGGCGTTTCTGTTTGTACTTCATATGGGAATTATTCCCACATCCAGCCCAAGTTCTCTCCTGTCTGCCCTTCTTCATCTCTCTGCACTTGTGATCAAACACTCCCTCCCAGCCCTTCCAATAGAAGAGATAACACAGAAAGCAAGGGGAAGGTGAGCTGGTGAAAGCAAGCTAGCTCTTAGGCATTTGGATATGTCTGTCTTCAAAGGAGGCTGCCCAAGGGGCCAATGATACCTCCAAAGGCTCAACAGGAAAAACACTTCCCAGGGGGAAGGTCTTCCTGGGACACTCATTATCAGAACCAATGCCTGCTTTGCTATCAAGATGTAGCAGTCTCCTGATGCAGATAAAGGCAGCTGCTTGGGACTCACAAGGCTTTTGACTAAGAGTTCACACTTCTGCACCTTTATCTAAGGAGTTAATCAGAAATGCAGATAAAAATATGTGCCATAGTATTTACTATTGGTCCAGAAAACTGGAAAAATTTTCAATGGCTGACAAAGAGAACGAGTGAATGGTAACTGAGCAATATTTCTAATACAACACAATTCAGCATTGAAACAGTTTAGTTTTCGTGTGTGTGTGTGTGTGTGTGTGTGTGTGTGTGTGTGTATGTGTGTGTTTGGGTGCCACAGTGCACATGTGGAAGCCAGAGGACAATTTCAGAATGGCTGGCCTTCCATTATGTGGCTGGCTTATCAGCCTCAGCAGCAAGTGCCCTTAATCACTGAGCCATCTCACTAGCCCAAGTCAGCATTTTAAAGCAATGCTGGATGAAGTACATTCAACAGCACTGCAAAGTATTTTATATTAGGTATATACGCAAAGGATTTTTTTAAAGCCCACTGGAAGTAAATATATCAAAAATCCTATAATAGGGAATCCTCCTTGGGTAAAGGAAATAGCCCCTTTCAACTTCTGGGCATATTTCATTTGGAGGAAACTACCCACACACTGCTGTTCTGACCAGAAAAAGTATCTTTAAGTAAGGAGAAGTAGAACTTCAAAAGCTTTTTAAACTAACCTTGGAGAACTAAACCCAACACCTGCCTTACCAAAGTTCAGTTGTCAGTGACTCATAGGTAAGAAATCCACCACACCTGTGCAGTGATTGGCACTCAGCAGGCACTCGGCCCCGCCCATGTTTTCTGCCAACTATGACAGGGAAAGAACAGGAAAAGGAAGAACCCAGGAAGAAGCCCCAAGAACTAGGACAAAGGAATTTTCTGGAATTCACTAGGATCTTCTCTCTGTCTAGAAGCATGTCTCAATATGCTCAATGGGGAGATGCACTTTGTCCTACGTCTCCTAGAGATTCAAGTGAGGCAGGCCTTGGCTAACAATGCACTGTTAAGGCCCCCTTGCAAGCCAACTGCTCATTCAAACGTCTGCACCAGAAAACTTCTCCTGACTGCTAGACTCTGGAATTTGGCAGGGTTGTGAGGCCTCGTTTCCTCAGTCCCTAGTCCAGAACGTCCTGCAGCGATAAAGATAACTTACATGGCACCTGGTGATGATAGGGCCCTTCCGGACAGTAGTACTGATAGTTCCACGGAGCCTGTGGGGAAGGATTGAGAGGCAGCATCTGTGCGTTTGCTGGAAACCTCTGAAGTTCAAACTGAGGAAACTCCTTGGATCTCAGAGGCCCAGGGAGATCCTGCAGGTAACATGAGGAAGTGAGAGGCAATGGCCTCTCCAGCTGTCTGATGCCCAGGACATCTTGGGGCTGGGAATCATACCCAGTGTCTATCGTGGGCACGTCTGGGGCTGCCCTGTTCCTATGGGGCCGGGGCCAGGGATGGGGCCGGGGCCGGGGCATCATCTCTTGGCCATCACTGGAGGAGTCTGCCAAAACATTAGGTAAACTTGGGTCCGATTTGTCTGAGTCATGGCCAGTGTTGGGAGAAGCTGCTGAAAGCTGAGACCTCAGCCATCTACTGCGTTTTTCCATAAGTACAAACCGGTGCTCTGGAGGGAGGGCTCCAAGCTCAGACTCCTCAGACTCAGACTCAGGCTCGCTGGCTTCAGAGGAACATGAGGAAACATCTTTCCCAAGATCGGGGTGCCTTCTAACGAAACTGGCTTCACCCTCCTCCAGGACTTTGGCACGCAGGCAGGTGACCTGTGGTGACACGGGCTGGTGATTTGCAAGTTTCAGGGGAGGGTATTGGAGTACAGACAAGCTGCTGGGTGCCGTGTTCCTTGTATTTGAGGCAGGTGGTTCCAATTCCTCTTCTGGAGAATATTCTGGGATCGGTTTCAGCAACTGACTCGGGAATGGTTCTGATTCATCAACCTCCACGGGAATGCTTCGATTCATTCTAGTCTCTGGAACAAGAGAAAACACGCCAGTCTCAGAAGACAGATCAGTGCTTGGAGTCCCCATGTTATGACCTTAAAGGACCTGGTTCAGGATGTGGTTTAAATTAACAGCAGTGTGACAGCATTGTGCGCACAGGGCCCCAATCACATAAAGTTGTTTACTTACCCTGCAGGCAAAGGCATTCTGCTTATTAAGATATTTTATCTGGAAGGCAGTTGAAGAAACATGACCAGGAGTTGGTCTGTGGTAGGAATTGCTTACCAGCAAGGGGGAAACATGGGTGAAATCAACTGCCACATATTAAGGAGAGAGAGGCTGTCATAAAGTGGACTGCTTTGTGTGCTTGGAGCGCATGATGAAAAAGATCCCAGGAGGGGATACAGGACAGTCTCCAGGGCATGCTCACGGTTTTAAAGTGAGAAGCAGGGCAGCACGTGCTTGTGGCGTGGGACCGCCTCTATGCCTGGAGGATGCAGGATGCAGACCAGTCCCCACACTAGGGCAAGAGAGAGGAGTGGGCAGAAGATTTTTACCTTTTGAACTTTTTTTTTTTTTACTCCATTTGGCTATTGCTTAATTGAAAACTAAATTAAGTTTCTTTAAAAATGAAAGCACAAGCTTAAAACACACTGAAACAGGTCATGGTGACATTTTCTACTTAACAGCTTGGGTCATTTGGAGGGTGTATTTACCTCTGGGGATTGTGCCTGTACCGAAGGTAGGGAGACCAAAGAATTGTTAAACTATCCCTCAGCCCCAGAGCCGCCCTCAATCCAAGCAATATTGCTTTTATCTCTAAAAATCGACTTAACATGATGGGGGGGCTGCTTCCTTTGTCTAGTCATTAGCTAGTTGCTGTGATGCCCAGCTGTAGGGCAAATAGAGGAAAGCCTGGGAGATAGGGTGCTGGAGGGACACTGGGGGTTCACAGGAGGTTTCAGAGCAAGTGTTGTAAGAGAGCAAGTGTCTGTGAGAAATCCCAGCGGTTTATTCTACAGAGGGCCTTTGTATACAGCACACTTCAAATACTAGGGAGAAAAAGGCTGCGTGCAGAGCGTTAAATTCCAACGTTGGATCTACACAGCCTTTCAACCACCAACGTTTACTGACAGCATACTGTGCCTGAAGCCACGGGGTACATAGATTATTGTGACAGCTTTTGGAGAATAGAAATTTATATTCTCTTGCACCCTAGCCTGCACTGCACCAATTGCCTTTCAGAGGTAGGCCAGCATTTGGTTCTCACATAGTAGGCAAACTCCTGATCTAGAGCACTGGTCTCTATCCAGCGGGCTTCACTATCTACAGAAAGCCACACATGTTAGCACATGCCTGTAATTGCAGTTATTAAGGAGGCTGAGGCAGGAGAATCACTTGAGCCCAGGAGCAAAACACTTCTCTCAGGGCCGCAACCCTTGAACCCTTTGTGGGCACGCAGGCCACATCCCCAGACTCCAGCTCCCTAGCCTCCTCTTTCCACGCTGTCATGAAGAGATCCCACCGTCTAAATTCATTAGAACGTCTGAAAATAGCTAAGAACCTACCAGAAGATACAAATGCTCTGACATTTTATTATTTTTAAATGTGCACCATCATTTCCTCTTATAGTCCTGTCTACAGCTACAAAATGGGATGCACCGTGCTACACGATTGCCAACCCAGCTAGTTAGGAAGCAAGCAGTCTCTCAAGGCTGGCTGAGCGCTGTGTGATCTGTATGCATGCGTGAGCCCCGCGGATGAGAGGGAGCGCCCGGAGAGGGGACAGAGCCAGCTAACAAGGGGATGACATTCTGCCAGCTCGTGTCACGAGATTCCCATCCACTGCTCAGTTTTCAAACACTTCAGGTGCGAACGTTTCCGTCCCCCCTCTGAGTTCCAAGTGTGGACATCTGGGAAGTAGTTCCTACCAAAAGACAAAGTAGCAGATTTGGATCTTTTAGTTGAGGGGCTACGGGGAAGCTAAAATCACAGATGACAAGTGTGACCGTCTCACGTGACGTAAAACTGGTCTGTAAAGGAGGACATGGCCCCTCGGGTGATAGTAAACAAACCTGTCCTGGTAATGAAAACTCTCCCAGTAAGACTGTAGCAACAGTAGTGACTACAACATTACAGCTAAATGAGTTATTACACAGTGGGCCCTGACTCCAGGTTAGTAGACCCGCCCCCAGCCACAAGCTCAATTACAGTCATTTTGCCTTTTAACTGTCTACAGGTGGTACTGACTGAAAGAGGATGGGAGACTAGACACTGAAAGCTTATCACAGGACACGGGCAGTGCTGTTCTGTCGGCCAGCCACTTGAGCTGACCCACGACAGTAGATGCTCAGTGAAGACTTGCTGACTGGACTGGACTGTGTCTATGTGCGGCAGTACTTTGTAGCTGGACGGACCCCTGGCAGGGTCGGTGGAGCCCTCTTTTGTAGACGTGGAGCTCCCAGCTCCAGCCCTGGTCAGAACTGGCAGAACATGGTGAGCCCTGCCCAGTCTTCCTGGCTGTCACAGGGAGCAGCTGCGCATAGTTTATCAAAGATGCAGTTTTATCTGTAGTAAAACATTGTAAGAATATTATATTTTAAAAAACAACCCAGGGTTTCGCCTCTGCTAACCATTTCCACTTGCCTTGTTTTTTCTAGGCTAGCTCCATATTCTGTTCACGTGACTCTCACCCAGCTGTGGTCTGTACTCCAGTCCCTGGCTCAAGGAAAGTCTGGACTGACATAGAAAATCCCTGCTCACCAGCCTTGACCTTGGGAGAAAGCCCCTGACCTCTGAACGGACAAAAGGCCTGGTGGTTTGTCCATGGGCGCCCTGGAGCGTGCACTTGCTGGGAAGCCAAGACTTGTCAGGCCTGGAGAATTAGAACATGCCTACTAAATTGTGGCCCACTCTGAGGAAAGGGAGGGGCCACAAGGAAACCCGATGGGTGGGGTTCTGGCTGGGGGTCCTCTGGAGTTCCCAAGGCAGATGCCCAGGTCCCAGCTTATAGACCATGATGTGGCAGGGCTTCCATGTCTGATTCTTAAGTGCCTCAGGTAAACAGACTCTCCCTTGCTTTGTCAAGAGGAATGAAGTAACTATCAGAATTGTAAAAGTCTGTGGCCTTTGACAGAGTGATTTCACTTCTAAGAATCTCCTCCACAGAGAAGTGTGCACATTGTTCCAAGTGGAGTCTATAAAGATTGCTACAGAGCCATGACTTAAAACAAAATGGCTCTGGGTTTGAAAGTGTGCGTCTGGACAATGAACGGTCCATCTTTACACAAGTAAGCGCCACACGCATTGCAGTGGTGGCAGCTCCAGATGAATTAGGTTTAAAAGAATAAAAGAACAGGACAGTGTGTCACGTGGCTCTATGTGACGTAAGATTGTATGTGTGCCTGCTATCTTGAAAGGAGAATGCTGGTTATCTCTGGGGAGGGGGCGGGGCAGGGGTCAGTTTTTGGAACAGCCTGCACCTTTACTAATTTGTGTGCGTCTGTCTCTCTGTTAAAAATGTAAAGATTCCACCATTGACCTGATGCTCACAAAGGTTAAGAACCAATGTCAACCACGATTCCCACCTCTACCTTCAGGAGAGAGTGAACTTAGAATACAAAAGTAGTACCCGCTGGGGCTGGGCACGAACTGCAAACAGAGGCTAGGTGCCAAACGACTGCCACAGTGAACTGCTAGTTAGGCAGGCGGCAGGGCTCACACACCCTCTGCCCTGACTAAAGGCAGCTAGCTGCCCTGGCTCGGCCCAGTCTCCCTCACCCACTGTGGGCAGACAGCTGCACTCGCTGTGTTTCCAGCACTCACATCTGGACTTCTCTCTTCTCTTTCTGAGAGAGGGTCTCACTATGTATCCGAGGCTACCCTGGAACTTCCTAGATCAGGCCGACCTTGATGTAGACCTCTGCCTCCTGAGTGCTGGGAGTTTCATTTAAAATTAATTTTTTATGTGTATGAGTGTTTTTTCTGCATATATGTCTGTGCCTGGTGCCCTCGAAGGTCAGAGGAGGACATTGGCTCTCTTAGAGCTAGAGTTACAGGTGACGATGAGCCAACATGGGGGTGCTAGGAACTGAACCTGGGTCCTCTTCATCACTGAGCCATCTCTCCAGTCCTCTTCATTCTCCTCAGCTCTCTTGTCAGTTTCTCCATGGCTTCCAATCCTCTGGCTTTCCACCTCTGGCTTTCCTTTCTCCCTCTTAGATCTGAGGCCAATATCCTCTACCCTCCCGAAACCCCTGCAGGATTGGGTTTGCGGACAAGATGTTATCCAGCAGTCAAAAGCTTTGATACTCCGCTGGCAGTGTGTGCCCCTGGTCTCTGTCTCACAGAACTGTTCAGGCTCCTCTCCGGCCTTTGTACACAGCTCAGCCAGTATCTCTGAGCTGCCATCGGCTCTGCTCAGATCCTTCCCCAACATCCACACCCTACAATACATAGTACCTACCTAACTCGACAGAGTCTCAGAAAGGAGGCCATTAGTCTCCATAGCACCTTTATGATCTTACCAGAGCCTCTGCCCCTCTGGTCATACTGGTCTCCCTTCTTGCACATCTGTCAGACAGCTTCCTACCCCTTCCTGTTTACAAAGCAGACAGTCTCGGGATACAAGTGAACCAACCGAATGCTATGCTCACAGTTCACTCTGATTCTGACTTACAAGTGGCCTTAACCCTGGACCGACCTGTATTCCTCAGAGTGACAGCTACACAGAACTAAACTGCTTCTGGGTGCAGGCTTCTAGATTTTGATGGCTTCTCTACCAGCTGTGTAATTCAATGTCACGACCACAACAGAGTCACTTAGCTTCTCTGGGCCTCATTTTTCTCATCTACAAAAAGGAAGGAACAGCAACTCTCTCCCACAAGCTGAAGAGGCCAGCACGGCCAGCGAGACACTTGGCTTTGGAACAGGTTTTCGGGATGCTGTCTCCTGCAGGTATACCAGGTAGTAGGAGTGTCCCCTCAGCCTGGCGAATGGGGACTGTAGCTGTCTATGAGAGGACTCCCAC